GCTCTCTACGCCCACATGTAATTAAGTGTGCTACCTCCCCCTTTGACCGTCCAGTGAGCCCCTCCCGACCAACTCGCAGGGGATGATAACGCCTACTTTGAGAAACACTGGTTTAAATTTAATTATTTAAAATATTAAAAAAAAATTTGTTTTTGCCATTCAGGGCATAATACAAAAATTTTTATCGCACAGTTAAAGAATGTTTAAGGCTTTTGAGCCCCCTTCCTGTAATAATTGTATAGGCCGGGGGCCTCAAAAGGGCTTACAACTTGTTTAACTGTGCAGCAACAATAATTAACAAATGCGTAAAAACGTAATGTCTATACTGTATATGGTGTCGGAGGCCGTGGTGTTGGCGGCTAGACGCCCGCCTGCTGATCGGAAGGTTGTGGGTTCGCGTCCTGACAGACGTATTTTTCTTCAAAAATGATCTTGACTCCCAGCTCGACCCAGCCTTGAGTACCAGGTGCAGTCCTGGGAAGTAAAGGCGGCCGGCATGATGCTGACCACATCACCAACAAAGTCCCGATTAGTCTATACAAATCTAGGTCTAGCCCTATATTCACAGTACGCATAAAGGCATCGTATCGTATCGTATCGTATCGTATAAAATCAAACAAAAATTCCAAACTTAGTCCTTTTTCAGCCGCCTGATGCCCTGCTTTTTCAAGGACGGTTCCTTTGCTATCTTATTTATTTATATTCCTTGTGGTGAGCATTTTCACCTGAGTTTGTTCATTTTTTGCCTAAGTTCTGGTTCTGAGGGGCCTGGTTCCTGTTTAATTGGCTATTCGCTAGCTTTTGCACCGTTCATCTGTGTTAGCACCAAGTCAGTTCGAAGTCACACCGCCACGAAACAAACAGTTCCGCATACTGAGCGTCCTAAAACACGGCCCCCACAGGACGACTGTCACAATCTTGTTGTTGTGTGCAGCCGTTAGATAAGTAGAGGAGGTAACAAAGGTTGCAAAAAAATTAGAACGCCCGAAGGTGCAAAGATATTGTATAGCTAGATCGGAAGATGGAGAGAGACAGATAGCTTGCTAGGTTGAGGAAGAGGTCCTTGGTGAGTTGAGTCCTGCACACTGCCTGCTCTGCCTGGGTTGATCTGAAAATAGACTGATTTACATTTTAGATACATAGGGGAAGGGACGGGTGAAGTTATCAGAGTAGCGTAGTAGCCTGGAATTCCACAAGTGCTGGTCCCCTTATTGTGCAATGCCCTTTTAGCTGGTTGCCTCAGGGCGTCGGGCGGCCTTTGGTGGGTTTCCTCGGTTTTTAGCTGAAAATGAGTTTATTAACATTGAAACATATGTGGGAGGGGCGGGGAGTTTACAAAATGAAATGCATAACAGACTGAAATCCACGAGTGGCATAAAGGCAGGGAAAAGAGACCTTTATATATGATCTAATCGGGAGGGGGGGGGGGGGGGGGCAACATCACAGAATCTTGCTTCACAATTCTAACTCCACCTGAACCGCAAAAGCCCATGAACTTCTCACATGATAAGCCACAGACTCATCTCTGTAAATGACAGCATCCCCCTTTAGATACTTGACCCTGAATACGTAAAGAAGAGAGTGTTATACGTTTTCTGAAAGCCAACACATAATATTTCTTCGTGCCTGAAACACCTTTGCTTTATAGCACGGAAATCCGGTATTCGCGTGTAGAAGTACTAGACCTACGCTGTGTTGCTTTGTTTTGCTATCTCCCGAGGTATATATAATGACAAGATCACTGTTTTACGTGCAGAGAATTGTCAGTCGTGCTGCCAGCTGGACAGTTCAGAGAAGTATGATTACAATACTTAAAAGCTTTTGGGAAAGATTCTTACAGTTTGCGTATCAAATCAATGTTTATAGTTTATATATGATGCGGATGTTCCGAGCGGCGAGAGTGACGCACGTATTTTTTAAGGTTTTTTTCTTCTACGCGTTCTGTATCACTTTTTTTTTTACGTTTTTGATGACTAAAAGCAGCATGTTCGCATTTTATGAAGTATCATTAAATTAAATTTAATGTCTATCGAATGTCATAATTATTTTGTAACATTCAGTGTTCAGTCTCGGAGTGGACATTTAGTATTTTAATTTAGAGGTACAACAGTGGTTACTGACACTGGGCGACGTTCCGGCTACACGGATACTGATTAAGTGCTTCAGTAGTTCCGTAAAGTATGCCACAATTCCTGGAACCGGATAGTCATTGCCTTATTAAATATTATCTGTAATAGTCAAACGGATGTCACAAAGCCGACTCTAAATGTTTTGCTAATTAAACAATGTTTTGTTTTTAATATATTATTTATTAGTTAAGACTAGGGTGGCTGATACCAGATATCTTTTTTAATTTTTTATTGAGTTGAGCAAAAAAATAAAAACAGGTGAAATAGTTTTTTTTAATCCTCTAAGAAGTAACATTACTAAACTATACTGATAGCAAGAATGACCTAGTACCAATAACCACACAGAATTCAAATATAATATGCATAGAGCAAAAAGAATACCATACAAAGATGGAGTGATAGCATCACATACAAATAACCCCAGAAGGAATTAAGACACACTTACTCAGCACATTAAAAAGCGCACATAGAAGATCAAAACACCCCCATGCCCAAAGAAATTCCCTGAGATAAAAAAGAAGAAGAAGAATCATTATGCTACCTATCTTTTGAAAAGCTTAGTATTATTACTTTTATTACAGCGTTTTAGTTGCAAGAAAATTCCAACGCAAATTTTTTAGGTTTCAGGTTTTGAACAACGGATCAACATCATGGCACATGAGTAGTAACCCATAAGTGCTCCGTTTTTCTCCCAACTAAAGTCTGAGTCCGACAAAGCTCAGCACAGTGCACAAGCTCTGTAGCACTGGCGAGGATCCTGAAATACTTTGGGTCGATTTTCAACTCCAAATTTTGCCCGGGCAATGCCGTTAGGTTACTCTTTTCTATTTCGCCAAGGGATTTTTTTTACGGCACAACAATGCACACGGGCAAGGATTTGGTAGTAGCAATTTTCATATAAATATTATCCTTGTCATCAGCGTCTTTGGCCTAGGTGTTACGAACACACTTGGTGATTCCGGAGAGTCAGGTTTGATTCCATTTGTGGGCAGCTTGGCAGTAGACTGCATTTTTTGGGGTTTTGACAGTGGTATCCAGAGCTGACTGTTCTGACAGCAGTGGCTAACTACTGAACGCTAATTGCCTACAGAATCCACAAACAGCCAAGAAGTGCTGGTTCTGCAACATTCTGTAAAGGATATACAACTAATGTAACTGTTATCCTGTTCAACACTCCAAACTATAATTGGGATGTAAGGTGTCCTAAACATTTGCAATTAATTTTTTTGCTGTTTCATAAATCAAATAATTTCTTTCAGTCAATTATGTTATTTATATTATTATTGTAAGTATTATCCTGTTAGTACTTTCTAGGTTATGATTATAATTGACTGTGTATAATATTTTTCATTAATAGTACCTGTTATTTTATTACCTTACTATAAACTCATAGTTTGAATCATATTTATTTTTGGGGAAAAAAAAAGATTTTTATTGCTAAAGTTATGTTTGAAGTACAGATGAAAAACTAATGACTAATATATCTTCCTCAATAAAGAGACATAAATTTAGCCTTTGATTAAATACTTCAAACATTAAATTGAAATTTCTGTATAGCTGCTGTGTATGGATTTTAGTTTAAGATTGTTGTACTAGCTATATATTGTTGATCTTTTATGCAAATCTCTGGTATTGTCTGAAACAAGTTTTGCATTCTTAACTCTTTGAGTCCCAAGGAACGCATCATATGTTTATAGGTTTCTGCCTAGAGGCCCAATGAACGCAAGATGCGCCGATTTTACATCTCTTTTGACTACCCCTTGTCTCTGATGCAATACCCCCCGGGACTCAAAGAGTTAATGGCTTTGACTGCTGCTGGCGCCTTACCAATACATGTCATAATATCTCTCTGTGTTTCCTTAACTATCAGAATAACAATCTAAATAGGTAAATTGATCTGTTGCTTCAATTCCTTTCTCGCTAGCGTTACATCTGCTTATTGCGTTTTTAGTATATTTGTCTTTTCATAACTTATTTATGGCCAGACTAGTGATACTTTAATTGTTAAAGGTTTTTAAGCCTTTGGGATGCTTGGGTTGATCAATCGCAAAATAGCCAAAAAAGACAGTAATATAAGCCTTGAAATTGGCTAGCTGGTCTTCATAAAAGCCAATCAGATTGCTTCTCACATTTCTTGTACATGTGGACCACTTTCATGAAAGTTTGTTGCATTCTGTAATTTTACATCGATCAATTTTAGGTGTTTTCCTGTGCCCAGCAAGGGTGATAAGGACTGTTGCATTATAGCAATTAAAATATATCAGAAGGCAGGAAAAGAAGCAGAACCATGTGCCAGAGGTGTCTAGAGGATCTCCTTGGTTCGTGTTTCCCAAAACACAAGTGTTAGGATTTATTCAGGCTTCATTGATCAGAAAATTTGCCCACATTTTTACATTTAGTCATGTTTGTCCTTAGTTAAAAAAGAAATGCATGCACAAATATGCAAACCAGCCGGTTAGATCCTAGCTGCAGGCGATTATGCAACAGACCACTTTGCATTAGGTTCGACAATGGCATCTAGAGCTGACCATCCAGAAAGCACTGGCAAACTCCTGGATGTAAATTTGCCTAAAATATACTACAACAGCCAAAGAATGCCGCATTTGCTTTTGCAACATCCTTTAAAGGGTATGCAACTAACTAACATCAGAATGCCATATCCACCACAATGCAAAAGGGGTAATTTAGTTACTTAACTTTTTACTTATCCTGAAGTTGAATTTCATGTTGATTTGATTAGAATCTCAGATGTTTTCTTTTTCAATTTACAGATGAACAAACAATACTTTGAATACAAGAGTATTCTTTGAATTTGTAATTGGGTTTACTAATCTGATACAGCTTTCAGCTGAGAACTACACAACTGGAAGAATGAATCAGATATTGAAACTAACAATCTTCCTGGCTGTCTGCTGTATTGTAAGGGGTCAATGTGACAGTTTGACCGTATATGATGGTGGTACTAAAGTAAGTCCATTACTCTATTTAGAGCAGTTTAACCTGAGTACATGCGTTATTGTTGAATGTTGAATCTTGTTCTCTCTTACTGTAAAGTTAACTTTTTTTGTTTTTGTATTCAAATTTCCACTTCATGTCATCACACGTTTTATTTGAGTTTCCCTTATTAAGATACTTGTGATAGTTATTAAATATGTTTAACAAAAAGAAAAAGGGTAATTGTGTATCACAGTGGCTAGACACTTGTCTAATTCATTTATTCTTTTTTTTTGGTGTGTATTCTAATTAAATATTTATTTATCACTGTATTAATTGCCACTACATATCATTACAGTTTGGTTTGAATTCCCCTTGTGAATTATTTTATATGTTTTATCAAAAGAGAAGGGTTAATCATGTAAGCACAGTGGTTAGACCCTTGTCTAATGGCCCTCTTTGAATCCACATACTGTTTTTATCATTGATCTTGGTTTCTAGGTGGAACCCACCCTAATAAATGTATGCATTTAGAAATGTCCTGCAAAGTGAAGGCAGCCAACACAATATTGATTACATCACTCAATGAGTACCATTTAGTCTATAGATCTAGCACCTTATACTGAGTGCACAGGTAGCATGGAGGAAGGTCCTTTACTGTTTTAATACACATATGTCCCACAATTTGGTAATAGCTACTTGTACCAAGAAAGCAAAAAATTATTAATATGAAAATTGTAAATGGCAGTTTTTTTTTCAGTCTCCACCCAGTCAGTTCTTCAAAGTTTGGACGGATTGTTTCTCATTCTGTGTTGATTATGTTTCTTTAACGTGGATCTCTAGGGCATTCTTGTCATATGGCCAACCCTTCTCATCTTTTAGAACAAAACTGAAGTTCAGAAGTGGAAAAACAACTAGAAATTTCCATCACAGTTCACAGCCAATGAACGCTAAGAAGAAGAAGAAATACAGGCAGCTGACTTGACTTTCACCACATTACCCACAGTGTGCCAGTGTAGCACCATATGCCTAGTGTGCTGCAGTGACATGAAAAGTGTCCTTTACTTTATATTACATGAATTCAGGAAGCTGACTGCTCATGTGATATTTCCATGTCTATCTGTAGACGATTATGTGAGACTTGCATTAACTTTTTGAATCCCAAGAAACATCTGATGTGTGAATAACATTTGGTGAGAACATGCGAAAGAAACCTGGCTTGCTCATTTGTCACCAGCCCTGTGTGTATTGCTAGTTTAAAAGTAATGCACTCATGGTTTCCATCATGGTTATTTCTTCACTTTGCTTTCTCCTGTGAAATCTTCTAGTGCTGAGAGAGTCGGCCTTGTGTGTTTTGGGGCCTTATTGGTTTGGGATCTATACACTGCCCCCTAACAACATAAAATGTTACTAATTAAGGGCTTACTGAAATCAGATGTGTTGGGTCGAAAGGCACATGTATAATAGCCTAGCTGTAAACCATACCACAACATGTCAACTACCCTTTTAATGGTAAATGAATAAGTAGAAGAATGATCAGGTAATAGGTTTTTGTGGTAAACAATTTGTGTAATTTGAGAAATTAAACCTAACCAAATTTATCTGCTTCTTTCTTTCAACAGATCAATACCAGCACAGTATGCATTAAACAGTTCAAAAAAGTGGGTAAGTTTTGGAATGTTGCCCATTGGAAAGTAATAATGGGTTCAGAAAGGATTGTTTGTTTTTTGTTGACATAATTGTCATTCTTATAAGCCTAAACTCTTATAGTCCCAGGCAAGTATTGATGTAATACATCATATCTGAAACATTTGTTAGTTAAAGTAAGACATCTCTAGGCCTAAATACGTTTTTAAAAAATGACATTAAAGGACAGAATAAGTCACAGTACACACTGATATAGAGTGTTAACAGCTAGAAAACAAAAACTGAGTTAAGTAAAGCATATCTTCTGTTTTTTTTTCCTAGGCAACTTTTTAGAATAGCTGTTAATGAGCATAGATGCTAAAAATAGCATGTAGGGTTCCCTGGTGGAAAATATTTAAAAAAAAATGTTTTCGCCTACATATTACCGGAGCCTTTAGAGAAGCAAAGAATAGTCTTCTTCTTCTTCTCTTCCACCTTGTACCTCATCGAAGTGTCGGGGGGAGATGTAATGTTCGTTGATGGGCTCTGTCAAGAGCACTATTAAGACTGATGTTCATTTCTGTAAGGCTGTTCTTAATGCCATCACTCCATATTTTCCGAGGTCTTCCACTCGCTCTATACGCGTTGTAACGTTTTAGTGTGGCTCGCTGTGGCGGATAGTACCAGGGCATTCTTGTTAGGTGTCCAAACCACTTCATTTGTTGTTCTTTGATGACCTGTAAGACTGGCTTTATTCCGAGCATTCGTCTGATTTCATGATTTCGTATTCTGTCTTTTCTTGAAACTCATGCAGCTCTTCTAAGGCATTTCATCTCAGTTGTCACAATTTTACGTTCATTGGAGGATGTAAGTGTCCATGTTTGGCATTGATAGCATAGTGTTGGCCAAAAAATAGTTCTGATAAGATTCACTTTAGTACTCTGAGGTATCTGCTTGTGTGTCAACAGTGGAGATAGTTGACCCATTACTTGATTAGCTTTGGCACATCTGGAGCTAATTTCTCTGTCCAGTTTTCCGTCGGATGTAAAAATTGCTCGCAAATACTTAAATTCCTCTGTCTCAGGGTGTTGTTTTTTAATTTAATTTCTAAATTGTCTTTATGTCTTTTTATCATCATTGTCTCTGTCTTCGTAGTGTTTATTTTCATATTATATTCCTCCCCTTTGTTACTAATTTGATTTAGGTGGTTATGTAGGCATTCCTTATTTTCTGCTATGAGTACCTGGTCGTCGGCGAAAAGTAATTCTGTAATATCTTCTTCATGATTAAAGTTTGTTTCGCTACATATGGTATCCATGTATGTTATAAAAAGAAGCGGCGATAGTACACAGCCCTGACGCACACCAGAGTTCACTATAAAAGTTCTTGACAACCCTGCCTTCGATCTTATGCAGCATTTACTACGCGTGTACAGGCTTTTGCAAATATTAATGAGATGATTGCTGATTCCCACAATATATTCCTGTCGACTCTATCGAAGGCTTTTTCTTGGTCTATGAATGTCAACAAACATGTCTTATGTTCTATTGCTCTCTCTGATAGTTGTCTCAATGTATAAATGGCATCTGTGCAACTTCTGTTTCGTCAAAAGCCCATCTGTGCATAGTAAAACTGTATTATACCAGGCATGTCGTAAAAGGTGGCTTAAGAGTAGGGTTTGGCTTGAAGTTGGCTACCTCATGCTGTAAAAAAAAAAAAACTATAGCTACAGAAGAAACCAACGATGCCCATTAATTAGTGCCTGAACAGAAAAGAGAGAATTAAATAGTATGCTTGAATCACTAATGTGAATCTTTGGGAGACAATTTTAAAAAATCTCAGTGAATCATGAGGTGAGTAAAAGAAGCTGGTATTGGATAAGCATTGAGAAAATACATATATAACTAGTATGTCCTTAAACTGAAACCCACAGGGTCAAAAGAAAAAAGGCAGACCAAAAACACATTGTGATAATAATTATGGTATGATGTAAAAAAGATGAAGAGGTCTTGTGGTAAGCTGTAAGCGATGACAAGGATATAGTGGTTTGGCATGAGTAGGTTGAAGGCTTATGCTGAATTGGAAGATAGAGGGCAGTTTGAGATAAGAAATTATGCTCTGAAATATTTACTTTGTACTTACTCTGGAGACTTCACAGTAGCTTCAAATGTCTCTTGTAAATGTTTTGTCAGTATTTATTCAGATTTCAAATATAAAGTTTGTGCAAGCCTGTAGTCACAAATAAGAAAGAGCAGTTCTCGGGTCATTCAATTTTCTTGTTGCAAGTCATAGGCTATTTCACAGTCATTAGAGAAGAAAATCATGGCTTTGGAATTTCAGTGTTACAGAAGAATTCTGTGCATATAAAAGATCAACAAGATGCAAAGTACTGATAATCACAAAGATTTTAACCTTAAAACTGACTCATAAATAGCACCATGTCTTGGAAACTGAAACACGTTTGCAGTATTACAAGCTGCAGCTCCCCGTGTGGGTTCCGGGGCCCCATTGTGGGGAAAACAAGAATAGACCCACTGCCTCCCCAAAAGCATGTCGTAAGAGTCGACTAATTGGGGAGCTTCCTTTGAAGTCAGAGTGCATCTGCCGGAGAGGCATGGAACCAACAGTCTGTATTCAAGAGAATGAGATCTGTAAAACTGATGCACATGCAACACTCAAGTTCTGGAGCAGGACTGCAGTTCAGTAGTGGACGAGCAACCAGAACCTTCCGCCAGAGTTTACAGCTGGTGAACGTGAAGAAAATGAAGACAAGCTGCAGTGATAAGAAAAATTTGTAACTATGGAAGTGAGATATCTGAAAGGGTTTGCAGTAGTGGCCTGTACAAATAAAATCAGGAATGAAGCCATATAGAAAAGTTGGCAAAAGCAAATTCTAAATTACATAAAAAGGCAGCAAATCAAATGGTTTACAAGTTTAGAGATGCTTTTGATGCTATACCATAATTACATATACACACAAAAAAAAAGAGGATGGAGAGCATGAGGTAGACCAAGATCAGGATGGAAAGAATTGGAGAAACTCTACAACATCACATTGCGTCTGTAGTTGAGGCAGTCAGAAGAGCAAGACGCAGAACCTCATATATCCCACAACACCCGAAGCAGCTAAAGAGGAAGGGAAGAAGAGAAGAAGCATAGATTTAGGAAAAAACTTCAAGACATAGTAGCCAGTGACAAATCATCTGTGCCCTGAGACTGAAAGAGTTAACAGGGCAGCAGACTTTATCTATGAAGTTATGATAGCAGGCTCCCAGGTCAATCCAACCTGCATTGGATACCAGAAAATGTCCTTGGATATAAAGGCAGCAGGCATGTTGTTAACAGCATCACTTGTTGAGTGCTGAGTAGTCTATAAAAATATGAGATTAACATCGTAGCCATGATGTGCCATTGGCATGAAAAGGGTCAGTTATAGTCTTTATTTACAAAATAGATTAGTCACACAGCTGAAATATTCGTATTGCTAAATTTTATATTTTTTTTTTTGGCAGATTGCATAGACTTTTACAATAGCTTTGACCAGTCTCTGCTGCCAGAAGAGTTCCCAAGGTCAAACATCTCAGTTGGACCACCACAAAGTATACATGTCATGGGCATTGAAACTCCACTGGTTGAAAATTCAATGGATTATATGTATCCAGGTTTGTCAGTTCAATGGCGGCCTCCTTTTTCAGGTAAAACTATTCATTTCTCATGTTATTAATTATTTATTCAGAGTTGTCAATTTAGTGCAGATTGCTTCCAGGAATGTTTATCTGATCATGCATTTCTCAGGTCTGACCACCTTCTCCCCCCCCCCCCCCCCCCCCCCCCCTCCCAATAATATTTTATGTAGAGCTTGTTGTTGATGGACATTAAACAGAAGGTAACCTTATGACATATACTGCTGCTTGGTGGGAGGTTGGGAGTTATTACATAAAAGGGAGAAAAAAGCTATCTTTACTGGTTTTTATTTATCACTTGCTGGTGAAGGACAAGAAGGTCATGAGCCTTTGGATTTATCATTTTCAAGCACTTTCAGCAGGAGAATATTTGTTGAATATACATGTGACTTCCGTACCACAATTGAAAAAGCATGGATCCTTATCTTCCAACAAAGAATCATTTACAGTGCTACCTGTTACAATATCCAGGAAGGTTTCTGTAGTGTGCTCAGTCAAAATTTAACCTAGACAGTAAAACATCATGCATTTATGGAGATATTCTGGGGAAAGCTGAACACACACAGTGCACTGTTTGGGACAGAAAGAGTTAAGACCACGTGGTTGGTGCAGGTTAGGATTTTCTTTTTTGCCCTCGACCAAAAAACAAAATGTTATCTTTAATGAGGTTTAAACCCAGGTCTCCTGCATGAGAGCCGAGTGCTCTGACCAATCAGCCAGCTGCCGCATCACATATACTAGGTCAGAACATAATGAGGTGACCAGCTCCCTTTACCACCACATTTACTTCAGATTATTTGAGAAACAAAAATTATTAAAATGATCTAGTACCCGGGGTGCAGGGTCTGCACCTCTGGCTTAGGCATTGTGAACCCGCTTCATAATTCTAAGGTGTTTTGTTTGACCCCAACTACGGACAGTTTGGCAGCAGAGGCCTTGCGTTAGTTTTGACAGTGGTATCGAGATGAGACCATTCAGGAAGCTATGGCAAACTACTGAACGTAAAATTGTCTAGTGAAATCAAAAACACCCAATAAATGCTGGGGTTAGTTCTGCAACGTCCTGTAAAGGATGCACAACTAACTTAACTCAAGTAGCAGAGACTGCAGGACCAGGACACTGGCTAAAACCTTTTAGTGCCTTATACATAACTAACTTAACTCAGGTAGCAGAGACTGCAGGACCAGGACACTGGCTAAAACCTTTTAGTGCCTTATACACAACTAACTGGCAGGACACTGGCTAAAACCTTTTAGTGCCTTATACACAACTAACTTAACTCAGGTAGCAGAGACTGCAGGACCAGGACACTGGCTAAAACCTTTTAGTGCCTTATACACAACTAACTTAACTCAGGTAGCAGAGACTACAGGACCAGGACACTGGCTAAAACTTTTTAGTCTCAGTGAAGGTTATCCACGAACTGTTAGAATTGTGGGTAGTGCTTTCCAAGTGCCTGTCTTGCATATCCCTCTAATCCTTGAGCTTGGAGAAGGGAATTAGACATCAGCAGTAGCTATTTATAATGTTTTATAAATGTGTCTGTTCATAGTGTGTGATATTTTCATACATTTGTATGTTTGCCAACACCCTTTGAAAAATATGTTACTTTAATATGACTTTAAAAAAAAAATTGTTTTGACCACTGCGATTCTTTTTTATTTTTTAAATGTGTTCCTTTTTGCAACAAGATTTTCTACAGTCCCCCCCCCCCTTTTTTTTTAACGTTCAGTGTTTTGGTGACACTTTTGTAAATAGTTGTTATTTAATACTACCCTTTTGTAAATTGGATTCTGCAATGTGACCTTTTATAAAAATGTCTCTCTTTTGTCTCCCTTTTATTATCATTCGGAATAATATTATTATTAATAAGCATGAAATTTATCTTCTCTTTTGCAATAATATATTAAAGCTTCAAAAATCAGAAGTTATTTTTTGATGGTTCAAAATATAAATAAATAATTCATGATCTTATTATTATCATACCTATCCCAACATGGAGCAACATTTTTTTTTTATATAACAGCCCCCACCCGGGCTAAAATTCAGGTAACTTCATAATAGTCGGGGACCATAATTTAACGTGATGATTGAACGGGGTGACGATTGAACGTAGTTTTTGGGATTTGACCTGGGGGTTCTTATCCAATTAATGACCTATTGCACTTTGAGTCACAGGGTGTTGATTGATCAGTGTGCGGTCCTAATGGGGTTAAGTTTAGCTTGTATCAATGTGTCAACATGGGTAAATAAGAATCCCTTCAGTGCTGAGACATCTAAATTATTTATTTGCCACTGTATGTGACATTGCTGTTGTAGTCAATTCTTTGTCTACTTTTCAGTTCCAGCGGAGCATAGGCTTTCTTCCAACTCACACCAAACCCTTTGTCTTCTTCTTCTACTTCTTTGCATTCACCAGCTATAAAATCCAACAGATATTTCTTGTTGATCATCCACTTCTGGACTTTAGTCTTCTTTCAGAACTTGAGTTTTGTGTGCACATCGGTTTTTGCAGATTTGGCTTATATTATGCAGACTTTCAGTTCATTGCCTCTCAGTCTTATGCACTCTGACTTCAAAGGAAACACCCCTAATTCATTGACTTTTATAAGGTGCTGGGGGAGGAGGGGAGGGAGGGGGTGGTTCTATTCTTACTCTTCTCAAAATAGGGCCCTGATCTTTCCTGGGAGAACCATGTTTGAGCGTCTTCACTGATTACAGTTACAATATTCTTTGGGTTAAAAGCCAGGCTCTTGCTAACTATCTGTTATTGCCTCATACAGCAACTTTAGACATTTTGTGATCTCCAACGATCAATTTGTGCATTGAATATTCTCTCAATGTCTTCTTTCTTCCTTGCAGTGACAAAAATTTGTCCAGAATATTCTCTCAGAGTCTTCTCCCTTCCATGCAGTGACAAAAGTTTGTCCAGGATATTCTCTCAGAGTCTTCTCCCTTCCATGCAGTGACAAACGTTTGTCCAGAATATTCTCTCAGAGTCTTATCCCTTTCTTGCAATGAGAACAAGTTGTCAAGAATATTGTCTCAATGTCTTTTTTCCTTTCTTGCAGTGAGAAAAGATTGTTGAGAATATTCTCTGAATGTCTTCTCACTTCCTTGCAGTGACGAAAGGCTGTCAAGAATATTCTCTCAGTATCTTTTTCTTCACGTTCACTGGCTGTAAACTCTGGCAGAAAGTTCAGGCTGTTCATCCACTTCTGGACTTAGTCTTGTTCCAAAACTTGAGTTTTGCCTGCACATACATTTTACAGGTTTGGCTTTTTTGTAAGCAGACTATTAATTCCTTGCCTCTCAGGCAGATGCACTCCGACTTCCAAGTAAACACCTCTGATTTGTAGACTTTTAAGACATGCTTGTTGGGAGGAGTGAGTCTCTTAATTTTCACCCAAAAATGTAGCCATAGAACCCACAGGAGGCAGCTGAAACTTACAAGAACTGGAAAGATTTAGGGAAAATAGAGAAAGATAACAAAAGTATATGAATTGATGCTTCCTATTAGAGGTTGCAGGGTAGGGGGAGAAGTGTAATAGCTCATGCCAGGTGGTAAGACACATGATGATGATGAAATAACCATACCATTGAATGTTACACTCAAGCAGTTACCTTTGTTAAAAAGAATGTTTTAGCCTTAGTCTTATGATTTCTTTTCACAGGTGCTGACAGGAGTTCTTGCTATGGATATCTGATTGCATGGTTTAACCAAAAAAATGTAACCATGTGTCAGCTTTTCCATATCAACAAAATGCCCCAGGACACGGTTAGAATATTTTCCAATATAATTCTTTTAACTTAAGAGGGGATCCTGTAGTAGTCGTCTCTTTTCTGTATGAAATATCTCAAATCTTTTTCCATAGAATCTTTAACACAGCAAGTATTGTTTCCTATATCCCTTGTCTTAAGGGAGCGATAGTTGCTAAGTGGCTAGATTCTTGATCATGGATTTAGGTTCGAATTGCATTGAAATATGTATTTGTAATTGACCATGGGCTCTAAAATTGACCAAGCCTATTTGAGTACAAGGAAATGCCTATGGACGTAATGATGGCCAGTGTTGAGTTGGTCAGATCATTATAGTGCTGAGGATCCTCAGGTCATCATAGGCATTCAGTAACACACCCCACTGCTTGAGGAGAAGGCGCAAACTGTGGTGAATTACTTTGGTTAAAGCATTTGATATTTGGTGTTGTAAGGTCTGTGGTGGTGTGGAATCATTGTTCCTTAAGAGTTCTTTAAGGACCAAATAATTGAAAGTCACATGGTGACAGATTGGAACTGTGGACTAGTTGTGTCAAAACTTCTTATTTTTCCTACATATAATGAAAAAATTATCAAATCAGGCAAGAAGTAGAACTAATTAGCTTCACGTTATCGCAGTCACAAACTGCAAGTAAACACTGGGGCCAGAAAGCCTTCATCAGCACATGACATGTATAAACAGTGTTAGAATTACAAAAAAAGAACACAAAAGCATAATTTGACTTAGCTCTCTCCATAAAAAATCTACCTGTCTCTGTCTAATTCAAGGACTAATATATATATATATATATAAGATTGAACAGCCTTAAAAGTCTATGGTTAAACACCAGCAAGGACATAAAAATTAGAATTTGAGAGCATGCGTCTTCCCTGTGGCTACATACGGATGTGAGTCGTGGACTATCTCTCAGTCCTTAAGAAAGAGAATAGGGGCTTTTGAGCTGAAATGCTATAGAAAGATTCTCAGAATATCTTGGACAAAGAAGATGAGAAATATTGACATCTCAAAAGACCTGAACATCAAGGAAGATTGGCTAATAAACAGCATCCTTTCTCAAAAGCTGAAATATTTTGGTCATATCAAGCGCCACGACGAATTGGAAAAAATTATAGCAGAAGGCATGGTACCAGGAAGGAGGGGCAGGGGCCGACCGACACGGATGGGCACAGGATATAAGTGACTCCTTGAGTGTGAAAGTTCATGCGGCAGGAGAACTGGTGAGAGACCAAGTTTCTTTCAGGCAGACTGTGATGAGAGCGACGTTCTGCAAAGGACCTGCTACATGATGATGATATATTATGACACACATATATATATATATATATATATATATATATATATATATATATATATATATATATATATATATATATATATATATATATATATATATATATATATATATATATATATATATATATAAAGATCGTGGATAGTAGTCAGAAAGAAGTGTGACAGGCAAGGGCTGTAACCCAAAAATATTATATAAAACTGGTGGATATTAAGTTCCTTAGCCAAGTATGAGCTGATAAATAAGACAGTTCTCAAAAGACTTATGGCAGGCCTCCGGGCTGCTGAAAAAGACTTATGGGCTGTGTCATTAAATTGGCTAAACTTAATGGCTGTAACCTCCACGTTGAAGACACCTCGGCGAGCCTGAGAATTGAAATGCATTGGCACTAATTTGAGAGTACTAGTTTAGGATTTCCTGAAATTGGATGTGTTGATGTAAAAGGCATAAATATCACACCTGAACCCTAAACTACAAAATATGCTAGCTGTCCTTTAAGGTTGAATGCAGAAGAAGAAGTACATCATACAGTAAATCTTCAGTTAACCATCACCATCCGGACCAGGGCAGTGACGGATAACCAAATAGAAGGATAATTGAAATTTGTTAATACGTGTGTACAGTAACCTGATTTCACTGTGAGCTGAAATGAAAATGAAAATAAAATCCTTTGAAAATTGATAGTATTTACTCTTTGTAGTTAATGTTACCAAATGATCAGTATAAACTTCAACATACAGCACAGTCACGTTCAGCTTTGTACGGTAGTGGGTAAAAGTAATTCGTGGACAGTTTTAGAGATGTCCGTTTGTTTGTTGATACTAACACATTTTTTTTAAACAATGTCAGATAACAGAAACTGATGGTTAAACGAGTGAAGGTTGATAGAATTTTACTGTACAAACAAAAATGGAGCAATCTTGGCTTGGTCACAGTAGGAAATATGGCCGTCTATTACTGAATATAAGAGAATACCCCTGAGAGTATCCTCCACACCCCTCAAGCGGCATGGACTGGGGCTAAACTAGATGGCTGGGACTCACGAGCAGCAGCTACCGCATCTCCTGCAGCTTCCTTCATTTTATTTGCTCGTGAGTCCTAGGGGGATACTCTCGGTGGTAGCGGAAGTCTCCGGACGTTCGCAATTCGGCGGTGACGTTATAGTCCCCGGAAGTGCACAATTGACAAGTGACTGAGGCCCTGTTAGGGTATATTTTCCGCCTCGATAATTTAGGACCGTTATTCGGAGGATAGCCAAAAACCTACATCTCACAAGCTTGTAAGGACATTAAGGCACACAGTTATACAGAGCGGAAGAGCTGCTGAGAGTAGGAAACTGTGGAGGGACATGATTAGTTGACTTCAACACCAGCTTGGTTGACTTAATGAAAATGGTGATGTTTTTGTTATTATATTCAGCTACTCCCATATGCAGATTTTGGAACTGAATGGAGGGTGAAAAAAAGGAATGGGGAAAGGAGTAGACCACAACACAGTACACCAGTCACCCTGAAGATTGCAGAAAATGAGGATATTACGATTTTCATATTCAAGTGCTTCATCCCATTTTTGTTTTTTAAATTACACACTTTTTGGGGAATCAATTAAAAAGAACCTTTATAAAAGCATACTGGATATAACAGTTGAAGGCAAGTGAGTTAGAAGTAAAACAGTGATACAGGTGATTAGTGATGACTGTCATCACAGCACTCATAGATACGAATTCATAGATACTCCAATTTCCACCTCAGTATCTTCACAAGTGATACAAAAATATCAAGACAAGGACAAACAAGAGTTTCAAAGATGTAGATCCAGGACATATGACAAAGCATGTTGGAGACTATACCCGACTGATTTTAATCTTAATTGTTTCCTCCTGTGAATGCAAAGTTTGATGATAAACCCTTTATTTCTGGTCATTTTTATTTGTATGTCATTTGAACATTAGTGCAAGACATTTTTCTTTTGTATCTCACAGTTGCGTTTTCAGTACATCATCAAGACAGTTTCTCAGAACACTGTCTTCTCTGTCAGAATGTACAGCATGCCACCGTCTGGTCCTGAGTGGAAGGAGAATGAGAAAGCTTTTGTGAGCACACAGATAGCAACTCCAGCTGCATACAGTGAGTGTTGAATCAGTCATTCCAGTGCCATCACCAGAGTGAAAGTCGGCTATAGTTTCAATAGTTCTGCATCTTCAGGGAGTACTCATATAAGCTTCCTCCAGCTCTTCTCTTATTGTTCATTGATCTGTTATTTTCTTTATTCATGCCTTCTTTCTGCTCTTTCCTGTATCACAGTGGTCACAAACCTGGGGGAGGGTGGGGATGGCAAGGAGGTTTCAAGGGGGCATCAGGCAGTTTGGAAGTGAGTGCATTTGTACTTGTAATAATCTGTTATATTAACATTTTGTTTTAGTTTAGTTATAAATAAAACATTTTAAAAACTGTTTATTTAACAAAACAACAAGGCCCTTTGAACTCATGCTAGGAGCAGCCGATTTCCAGCTTCTGAATGCGGGCATTGTGAAACTTCATTCACAGCATTCTAAATCACACAGAAATGTTTGTACAGTAGCTTCTGAAAGTGATAAAATATGAAAGAAAATGTAGATATATTGTGTAATAAGGACCCTTGTCCACACCTGCAGACATACTGGGCTTATAGGACTAGACCTATATTTTATAGCCCATCATTATTTGTTGGGCGATGTGATATTCTAAGAGAGTGAAAAGAAATTCAGGAGCAATATAGCGTGATTGTGAGTAACAGGTACAATGCAATACCAAAAATACAAACGATAAACAATCAGGGGAAATGCTGAAAGAGTCTATTCACCAAAGAAGCAAAGAATTTTTACCAAAAAAAAAAAAAAAAGACAAATAGATAAACAGAAATGGATGACTGAAGAAGTTTTAAAGTTAATGGATGATATAAAACAATGTATGACAAAGAAGAACATTACAAGATAAATAAAGGAATAAGACATAAGTGTATAAATGCAAAAAAGAGTGGCTAAATGAACAATGCAATAAAATTGAACATAGTCCAAGTGAGGATGTAAAAAGTGTGCACAAACAAATTAACCATTTAATTGTAAGAAAGATACGAGTAAATACAGGATGTCTAAAATCAAAAGAAGAGATCTTAATTTAGATGATAAAATAACTAGATGGAATGAATATATAAGAGAGTTATATGATGGAAGGAGAGCAGAATTACCAGAAGAAAGACATTTAGAAGGTCTGTCTACACTAAAGGAAGAAGTCAGTGATGCTATAAAACATATGAAGAAAGGGTAGTCAACTGGGCCAGATGAAGAATTAGAAGTATTGGGGTAGAAATAGTAACTAAACTGATGAATGACATTTATAACACTGGGTACCTACCAAGTGATGTGATGAAATCTGTATAATTGTGTTACCCAATGACCAGGAGAAATAGAATGTGAAGAATTTTGTACAATCAACTTAATAAATCATGTCACCAAATTACTGCTGAGAGTTATAATGAGAAGATCAAGAAGAAAAATAAGAATGGAAATAGGTGAAGAGCAGTATGGATTTATGGAAGGTAAAGGGACAAGTAATGCAATATACATATTACGAACACTGATAGAAAGATCAGTGGACATATAAAATTACTTAAGTTTGTGCTTTATAGACTATACCAAAGTATTTGACAAAGCTAAACATGAGAAGGTGATAAAAATGTTGGAAGACATCAATGTAGACAAGAAAGATCTCAGAATAATTAAACACATTTACTGCAACCAAGTAGCAGCAATTGATTTGATTTGATTCAAGAACCGACATCACAGCACTCGGGGCATTCCCATAAGCACTCCGTCCCCATCTTCAGCAGCCAGCGAAGAGTTCCGATACAAATGGTGCCAGTAGCATTCTGATTAAACGTCTGTCTTGCCTTTCCTCTGAGCCTCGAGCATCTGCCAGAACCTCTCGTCACCCCCAACTGCATCAATCTCACCAGACTGCGGTGATCCATCTGCTCCTCCGAATTGTATACGCTCTCCCACAAGGCACTAACCATGTCTGCCCTATCATGTATCAGTATTCCACCAAGTTGTGCAGAGCCAGCCAGTCTGTCCGCCTGTTCATTTCAGCAGCAATTAAAGTGGGAAACAGATTGGGTACTTTTGAACAGATAAAGAAAGGAGTAAGACATGGATTTGTCTTATCCCCAGACCTTTTCTCTCTCTATATAGTGAAATAATTTTGAGGGAAATCGAAGAGAAAGCAGGAATAAGAGTTAGAGGATACAATACAAACAGTTTGCGTTATGCAGACGATATAGTTTTGATAGCTGAAAATGCAGCTGATTTATTACAACTGCTGGATTATGTGGGAATGGAGAGCGCTAAGAAAGGACTTTCATTAAATATAAGAAAAGAAAAGTAATAGTTATATCAATGAAGAAGATAACTCTACATTGTGATATCTCAGTTGAAGGAAAAAGACTTAACCAAGTCAATAAATTCAAATATCTGGGAACAATCATATCATCAGATGGAAAATGTGTGACAGAGATTAAAAGCAGAATAGGTCAAGCAAAAGCTGCATTTCAGAAAAGAACAATAAGAAAGAGACAAACACTGTTATTTGGCCACGTAATGAGAAGAGAGACATTGGAGAACATCATGACAACAGGAAAGATCAATGGAAAAGGGGGTTGAGGCAGACCAAGAGATGATACTGGATGGACTAAAATAATGGCATGAAGGGATATCATCAAGAGAGCAGTTCCAGGCAACCAGGGTGCGTGATCTGTGGAGATGCATGAGCACCTGTGCCAGTTGGCAGGGCACATGATGATGATGATGTGGTCAACATCATACTGGCCACTTTTACTTCTCAGGACTTAACACTTAGTACCCAGTTAAAGCTGGGTTGACCTGAAAAAAATCCTGCACTGTTTGGATTTGAACACATGACATTTTGATCCACAGGTGAGCATGTAGCTGCTACACCACAGATACATTATGTACTTTCTCTATTTCAGAAATTAAAACCTCTATTGAATAGCCATGTCAGTATAATAGTTTAACATAAATCATAATAATAGTGTATGAAACACATCTATCTTCATTACAACTCACGTTTTCGGTCGGGCCTAGAAAGAGAGTGACTTATCTTCCCATTAATAAATCGCTGTGTTGAACGGGTTGTCCTATGTTGTGGGGATGTCATGCTCTGCTGCATACAGTCGTGCGACCTAGGCTGCAGGCAGTCATGGGATGAAGGCTGCACTCTATTGTGGGACGTTAGGGGGTTGGAGTTCGGGCCAGTTCTGCATGTTTTGGGATTGTTAAAAGCGCTCACATCCTGTAATATAAAACACTTGATATAGCCAGCCGGTGACAACAGCTAGTAAAATGCTATGTGCTGTTGTCCTGTCACTAAGCATGACACCCCCACAACATAGCGTGAACCGTGTGACATGGCAGTTTATGAATGAGAAGAGAAGTCACTCTCTTTTGCGACCAAAAATGTGAGATGTACCCTATCTTCTTCTTCATCACATTTGCCAGCTGTAAACTCCGACGGAAAAGTCCTAGTTGTTTATCCACTTCTTGAATTTGGTCCCATTCCAGAAATTGAATGTTGCGTGCACATCTATTTTACAAATCAGGCTTGCATGCATACTGTTGGTTTCTTGCCTCTCAAGCAGAATCACTCCAGCATCGAAGGAAACATTGCTCATATATATGTTAACTAACAACACAATACGAGACAGGGTTACGTATACCAGCAAGAGAAAAAGTTGGAATAAGATCATGCCTGGATTATAGTGATAGACAAAGAATGAAATGGTTCAGCCATCTAGTGAGAATGCAGCCAGCAGAACATCTGGGAGGAAGACCAAGAAAGAAATGGATAAATGGTGTAGCTGAAACTTGCAAAAAGATTAACAAATCCATCACCCAAGAAGCACAAGACAAATACAGTAAACCATGACACTGTGCTACAACCTGGTATCAGTGACATGACAAAAGAAGAAGAAGAAGAAGATATGTACGCTGGCCAGGCTCTTGGTTGGGAACATTTCTATAGAATGACAGCAGAAAGGTTTAGATAAATCTTGACCAGTATAAAACCTCTCCTGATGCACCATCACATGTGGTTTAGCACCTCTGTATCCCTATGAAGTTCAATATATTCATGAAAATGATTATATGATAGAAAATTCTAAATTATTATGTACTTTCTCTTATTCAGGAACTGGAACCCCAAGTGATTGGGCCCCATTCGTGGCATATGACATTTTAAATAATGGCACAATTAAAGCAAGCATCTCACTACCACCAGCAGAGTTCAACATCACTGAATTTGATATCTATCTAATGGACAAAGATAATAGGATAGCTGAAACACTAAATCTGTCTACGCCGGTGAGTTGTTTTTATAAATAAGGCTAACTGTGTGCATCAACTTCTGATGATCAGAAACCTTCCTGCTGTGCTTGCTGCATGGTGATGTTTTTACTACTGCCACCAAATGTTTTTATAATAATTTTTTTTTGCCCTCAGTAATTCTTCATTAAACTCATGTCTTCCACTAGCATTTTTAGATATTGTCATCAGTCGGAGTGCCTTGCCAGCTGGTGCAGGTGTTCATACGTTTCTACAGATCTTGGTCTTTAGTGTTCCAGGTCAATTCTACTGATGATGTTCCTCCATGCCACTGTCTTAAGGCATCCACCATAATTTCTTTTGGTCTGCATCTGCCTCTTCTAGCAGTGATCTTTCCAGTCGTCAAGATATTTTCCAGTGCTGGAGTGCTATATATTAGATATAGTCAGGGCTTTTATCTGAAAAAAGAAAAGGGTGCCGGTACCCACCTCAGAGTGTCTAAAAATGATGACAGTACTCACCTCAGAATGACTATACATTGTCGCTGGGAGAAAAAACATGCCTGCTTAAATGCCAGTACTGGGTAATGTTGCATACCACCAGAAAAAAAACATCTTAGTATATTCAAATACATTATTGACCTGTGAGCCATGGCGGTATAGTAGTTTGAAGCTTGCTGCTGACCTGATGGTCCTAGGTTCAAATGCTCATTGAGGTGCATTTTCATAATTGACTGTGGCTTCTAGGTCAGAGCAGCCTAAAAATGGCTACTAGGAAATGTCCAAGAAAGTAAACATGGCCAGTTTGATCTAAAAATGTAGGTCTAACACCATATGTCTAATACATCTCTGGTATAAAATAGGGTCTTTTAATGTTACAGACTGATAAATAAGGGAGCTAGCTGCACTAGTCCAGTGGCAGCAATGCTTCTTTGTTGACCTCATAGTCTTGTATTTGAATATTCTCTACGATAGGCATTTATTTCAAACTAGAACCTTCTTATGCCCCAGATGCAGGGTATATAGTACTAACCCTAAACTGTTACACACCAGTTAGCACTCAGATGTTGTGATCAGTATCACATCCTGTCAGCCATCTTTGCTTCCTTGAATATTTTTCAGTGTTTATTTTCAGCTAAGTCAGTTGTGCTTTCCATTGCACTACCATGGCTTCAGATGCCATTCTGGAAATTATAAAGGTTTATTGAAAATGATTGTTTGGATTTTAAACTGTTATTTTTTAAAAAAAGTATTTAATAGATATACACATGGGTCATCTTAAAATGTGCAGAAAAATGTCAAGTTTTAGACTTAATATACTTCGATATTGGCACTATTTGTAGCTCTGGAGACGTCTAGATGGTATTCAGTCTTCTGCCACGTCTTCTGAATTATATCCAGAGTTACTGCAGTGACCCTCTCTATAAGGTGCTGGATGTTTCTGATCTTTTCAGCACCGTTTGAAGCCTCATGATCACACAGGTTCACACAAAAAGTAACTTTTCTAAACATTTCAAGACACCACATTATTTATCTATCAAATATATATTTTGTAACAGTTTAAAATCCTGGTATTCTTGATGACCCTGTTTAATGAAAGGTCGGTCTAACTTTGAACTCTTTTTTATTCAGTGATTTCAAAAGAGCTGTTGATATAAAAAATTAATTAAAAAACAATATAGAAAGATGTCTGTAAGATATTTCAGCCACATTAAAATACACAACACACTTATAACAACCAAATGAGAGGTAAAAGTTGAAGGCAGGTGAGCAAGAGGTAGACAGTGATACCATTAATAAAATAATGAATAGAATTCTGAAAGCCTTTAAAACTAGGGCAGGAGACAGAAAGTTCAGAACATCCATTTCAGCCAACCTTCATTGCAGAGATGGGACCTAACTGATTGCTAAGGTGAACCCTTTCCTGCTCAGGTAGATGCAAATCTAAATATTCCATTGCCTGGAACAAAAACGTTAAAAATATCAGCAAATTATGAAAATATATAAGTATTTTGTTTATTTTAATTTGAATGACTGAATTATTCAGTTGAGAATTGAAGTCACTGCACTTGGGTCATTCCTACACATGCTTTGTCTCCCTCAGCAGCCTATCAGTGGTTCCTGTGCTGATTTTACCAGTGGCGACCTGAATTAAAATTGCACCTATTTTTGTCTCTGTGGTTTGAGTGTCATAGAGGCCAGTAGCTCACTCCCTGTTGATTCACTCTCCCAATGTATGGTTATTCTGTCTCTTCTGAATTGGCAACCTTTAGTTTTGTAAAGCCTGGCATATGATACCACAACCTATAGTTTGAGAAAGTAGGAGGAGGTAGTCACTGCAGCTTCCACTGGTGTGAGAACCAGTTGCAAACGCATGATTGTAAAAGACTGAAAAAGCATGCTGAGAAAGGTGGAGATAACTCTACACTACGTGCAGATTAGCAAGCATTGCTTTGGACCTCCAAGGCTATTAGCATCCTCTGGATATTTTTTCCAAGGCATCAGGTGTTTTGGGAAATTAACAGGCAAATACATTGACTGGTTCTACAGCACTTGGTGATAAATTAACCCTTTCGCTGCTGCGCCCTCCGCCAGCCAATGTAACCATAGTGCTAAGCCACGCGAGTGCTAATCCTTCCTCCTGTGCTGAACACCTTTTTTTTCCCTCCACAAGCAGAAGAAGCGCTTGTGGCGCGGGGTAAAAACTGTACACCTAAAATAAAATCTCTTTAAAGGCACCTGGTTGACCTTTGCGCTGACAAGTTAGACGCCCTATGGCTACGCCATGAAAACTCATTAACAAAAAGAAAACACTACAAACTTACAAAGCAAACACAAAACATTTTAGTAAGCAAATACATGGTTTTTATTATTATTATTAACATCTTTTTGTGTGAAATATTTCAAAACAAGGTGCGACACACAGTCAAATCACAGTCCTTGCACATGTATCTGGTTTCCCGTAGTTTTTTGCTTTTTGCGCATACCACACACTTTCTTGTTGGGAATTTCTTCTGTGATGTTACAGACTCTATTATTGAAGGGAAATGCCTTTGTACTAAACGAAGTGGCAGATCCTCACTTTTTTTTGTCCTCCTACACTTTCTCCTCTTTTCCTTGCAATATTTCTGTAGAACGTAATTAATTAATACTTCGGTGATCTGTTGCCGAAAGTGCCAAGAGTTTAAATTTAAAATTTACGTTTAAAAATTTTAAAAAAAATGGCATATAGGGGTTGAACGCAGGACCTTTCGATTGTAAGGCAGATGTGATACCAACTACACTAGAAATTCATGAAAATTAGAACTGAAAATAGGACCAGTATTGTACACTTTGATAGACAGACACATTCATGTCAATTGTATAGTATATTAAAAACATTAATCATCATGTCAGTGCATGACCATATCTCTATTTTGATTATTGTGGATCCATTTCAAATTCAGTCGATGTAGATAGCTGGTTCATATGGTCAGTCTTGCTCACGGCCAGAAGTACACGTGTCTGCCGGCGTGTCGCAAAGATAACCCAGCTCATATAACTCACACGTTTCAAAGTGATCCTTACTATTACTCCTTGAAAGAAACTCCATTAATTCTTCATTAACTTTAATTAACCAATTTTCTTGTTATTTTGTATTTTAAAAAAAAGTAGACTAACACAAAACCAGAAATATATTTCAGGGCAAAAAATATACCGTTCATCAACCATGCTTCTATGGTAACAAAGCAACAGGATAACGTGGAACGCGTCTAAATAAACCTAAACTTATGTGACAAGGGTTTTAATTGTATGTCAATGGGTCAGTTTGATCAGGTCAAGGTAATGTGTATTGCCATTTAACCCCCGAGAATTACTGTCCTTAGCAATCTGTGAGAAAAGTCGAGGATGTTTTATCTCGTCCTTAGCAGTGAGGGCACAGAAAACAGAAGACGAGTTATCTCGTCCTTAGCAGTCTACCGGGCAGACGAGTTATCTTGTCCATAGCAGCGAAAGGGTTAGTGCATGACATGCTAGATGTTAATGTCCTTTGGAACTAAATAAACAGTACAGAATCTCAAATAGATCATCATGATCTGAAGCGTATGGTGCAGTGGTGGGTGGCAACTGAATCTGGCTGACACTTAACACTCAGAGGAAAGACAAGATGAACTTACAATCAGACTGCTGCTGGCACAGTTGGAATTGGAACTCTGAGCTGGCTTCTGAAGATTGGTACAGAAAGTTTATCCTGTGATGTCATTTTTTTTTTTAACTTAACTTAGCTGTATCTGTTTTCTCTAGTATCCACTTGATTCTTGATCATTTTCAGGTATTTGAACACTTTTTTTAGCACTTTTATTTTATGTTTCAGTTGAGGACAGAGGAGAATACAGAGTTTCCCCTATCACTGACAGCTAACAGTTCAGGTTTCTACTCTATTGTGGTAAGTTGTGAAAGAAAGAAATTCCTCTTTGCGTTCACCAGCTGTAAACTCTGGCAAAAAGTTTGGGATGTTCCACTTCTGGACTGCAGTCCTGTTCCAGAAGCTGAGTGTTGCAGGTGCATCCGTTTTACAGATCTGACTAATTTTTTATGCAGACTGCTGGTTCCTTGCCTCTCAGGCAGATGCACTCCAACTTCAGAAGCTCCCAATTAGTCGACTCTTATGACATGCTTTTGGGTAGGCAGTGGGTCTGTTCTTGTTTTTCCTATAATAGGGCCCCGGAACCCACACGGGGAAGAAAGGAATTATAATGGGTGTCTCCATGGTGAAGTGGACAAGCTGCTTGCCTCACACTCTGATGGTCATTGGCTCATTTCATGGATTGCGTCATTTGTTTCACAGTTGAAATGCTGATGGAGAAGCATGAGGATCATACTAGAGCTATGGAACCCAAGCTCTGTGCGATGCTTTCAGCAGGCAGCTACCCATTGTGCAGAGAGATAGAGAGAGACCAAACCAATTGGGATAAAACCTAGTGCAGTTGATCCTCTTTACCTTCAAACTCGCTCACAGTTACTTTGTCATGTCTTGACAAGGGGGAAACTGAAATATGTTGTGACAATGAGAAAGTTGAAGGGGAAATGAGACAGATGGAGACAAAAAGAGATGTTAGACAGTTAGGCATCTTGGCATGGAGGAACATCTGTATCAAAATGATTTTTGCAGTGCTGTGAACAAACACAATGATCAAGACCACATGGCATGGATGGAGTATAAAGTTCCCTTATAAGCAGAAGTCAGCTTCTACACTTTGGTCTGAAACTGGATTGTGGACAGATCTTCCTCTGTTGGTCAGAAGGTCTTGGGTTCAAATCTGCATCATGACAGATTATTTTTTTTTCTTTAAATTTGACCTTGGCTGTCAAGTCAACCTAGCCTAAAATAGGCACAGGTAATGTGATAGGAAATAGAGGCACTGGGCATGGTGTTAACCATATCACTGATTGATATATACAAAAATATAAGCTTAACATGTGTCAGTAACACATAAATATCCTTCTCAATTGCAGGTCTGGGCGTTTGACAAGTTCCAAATGAAGGATGGTCTGTGCCAATGCTGGGCTTGGCAAAATGGTGTGAAAACTTGCAAAAACACCTGTGGAGGCACTACAACCCCAATGTTCTACGTGAACATAACAAGTAAGCAGTTCTTACAGAATGAAAATATCTTCTTCTTCTTCAGCATTCCGAGCCCTTGAGATCCATTGCTGCAGATGGCACCTGCCTCCACTTATATCTCTGGTTAGCCTTCTCTTTTCTAGCTTGTGACACCAAGTGTTTGCAGGAGAATAAAAAATATAATAACTGTATATAGTAAATATGGTATTTACTTTCAGCTGCCAAACTTATTAAATATTTAAAAATGTAACAACAATGAAATCTCCACATACATGATTCTATCCATACTAACAAAGGTGTTTATCTGGGTAAGAATGAGCAAGTTTCTTCTTCTTTTTAGTGTTCATCGGATGTAAACACTGGCAGTTCTTGTTTTTGTGCACTTGAGGATTTTGGTGCTGTTCCTGAGTTTGACACTCATCATTATCATGTAGCAGGTCCTTTGCAGAATGTCGCTTTCATCGCAGTCTGCCTGAAAGAAACTCGGTCTCGCCAGTTCTCCTGCCTCATGCACTTTCACACTCATGGAGTCGCTTATATCCTGTGCCCATCTTCGTGTCAGTTGGCTCCTGCCCCTCCTTCCTGGTGAATCTGACACTACTAAATGTAAAATTACCTACAGAACAGTCAACAAATATTCATGTTGGTTCTGCAGTATCCTGTAAAGGATGTGCAACTAAGTTAACTTAAACATCTTAACATCTCATACATGATGCCGTTATGAGCCAGTCCATGAACGTCAAAGCCTGTAGAATATCACAATTTTTCTTCTTCATCTGTGGTATTCCATTAACATTTCTGTAATGTTTCATTTCAGTTATCTCAACTTTCTACTCCCTCCCACTCCCGTCCACCCCCTCCTCCCCCCCCTCCCCCCCCATGCCATCCCCCAAGGAGCTCATGCTTTCAACTCACACCAGGTCTTTCTATTCTTTGCTGTCGCTTGAAGCTTACTTCTCGTCCTCCCTGTCAGTTCACCTTCTCTCTATGGCTCCCTTCTGCATGTGTTTTTTGTATGTGTGGGTCTGCCTTTATTCCTTTGAACCTCTGAGTTTGCATTGGAAAGATATTCTAGTTTTAATTTGTCAATCATGTTTTCCTAATGTGTGTCTTATCCAATGCCAGTGTCCTTTTTACGACCTGCTCATTCACTAGAATTTAATGTTTATTCTTTTCATGATTGCAGAATTGTTCATAAGACATTGTTTTTTATTTGTTTATGTTCTTTGTTGGTGTTTAATGCTGTCAATGCATTGCTATGCCGAATCTCCTTCTGATTTGTTTTCAACAAATGCCATATGTTTATTATGGAGCCTAGGTTTGCAAAGTTTAAAATATTTCCAATTTTCTCACAATTGCTTGTATTTTTTGATTGATATATAGTTTTGTTTTCAAGCATAATTTATATTATGGATTTTATTGGCGTGATTTTGACTGTATCACCCACTGAGTGCTGAATAGTCTATAAATATAGGTCTAACACTATATACCTAATAAGCTGATATATCTAAAGGAAAAGGGTCCTATGGTGAATAATTGACCTTGTTTCCCAGGTCAACTCAGCTTAAAATGGGTGCCAGGAAATGACCTCTGAAGCAAATAGGGCCAGCATGATGTTTATCACATCACTGTATACTACTGGTTTGTCTATAAAATATGAGTCCAGCAATATATACTGGATGTGCCACAGACACAAAGGAAGGATCTTTTACTCACAGTTTATTTTCATGCTTTCACAGATCCACCAACAGCTATCCCAGTACCACCAACAACTGCTAAAACATTTGGCAATACCACGTCGCCACCTCCAACAGCATATTCTACTTTTACTCCTGAGAACAAACCAGAAGATTGGGCAGTCATCCTTGGAGCGGCAATTGGGGTTGCACTGCTGCTGGCATTAGTCATCATATGTATTTACCTCTTTAGAAATAGGAGCAGAGGTTAGCATTTTTTCCAACAATACTTACTCCTACAGGAGCCTGATTTGGGTATACACTGACAATCTTGACTCTCCATCACTCTTAGTTATCTGATATTTTAATGAAGGTGACTTGTGGAATGAGGAATGGTTGGCTGAGCGATTAAAACACGGTCTCTCTTTCAGACCCAGATTCAAATCCCCCACTGTGGGGAAAAAAACAAGAATAGACCCACTGCCTCCATAATAGGCATATTGTATGTGTCGACTAATTAGAGGATTTCCTTTGAAGTCAAAGTGCATCTGTCTGAGAGGTGAGAAACCAACAGTCTGCATACAAATAAGCCCGATCTCTAAATTGGATGTGCATGCAAAACTGACGAACAACCAGTAATTTCCACCAGAGTTTACAGCTGGTTGGCGCGAAGACGAAGAAGAATACTTGGCAGTGTGGTAAACCTCTTCTACTGGGGCAGAATTAAAATTCTAATCTGCACAGTTTGGGGCAACTTCACTAGCCATGCGGTCCTAGATTCTCGGGTTAGGACCTCCTTGTCTCTACAAAATGGTAAATGCAGGCAGTAAAGACACTTGTTTGTTATGTTAATTTTGTGTTGTGATCCACCATTTAAGCTTTTCACAAACATTTTCTTTGACTTTTTTTCTTTCTTCTCCTGCCTAGTAGTTTCCAACATAAGGCTAATTTATGTATTAAAGTGACTTCTTCTAATTATATGCCCTAATAATTGTATGTGTATTTTGCTTATGGTTTCCAGAGAGATCTCGTAAACTGCAGCAATCAGTACCTCAGTTTTTTTTCTTATGTATCTTTGATATTCTCAACATTCTTCTGAAATCCCACATCTCCATCACCTAAAATCATTATCACAGAGAGACAGACAGACAGAGAGCGAGAGACAGACATATGATGTTGACCACATCATTCACAGATGACTGGTCTATAAAAATATGAATCTAACATTATATGCCTAATGTGTCACTAGCTTAAAAAGTATCCTTATTTACCTACTTCTTTTTAAATAGTGTCAGTTTAAAGTAAGGTTAACAAGCAACTAGAATATCTTGAATAAATAGCACATGTCATAAAAAAGATAAGGATGATTTAACTGTTAAGAGGTAAAAGCAGTCATATATGCATATACTGTAATTAAGTTTTGTAGTGTTAATGAAGGTGACATGTGTAATGAGGAATGGTTGGCTGAGCGATTAAAACACTGTCTCTCTTATTCTAGGTGATATTAAATGTGGTGAGGTGGTCAGTTACTTTCCTCTTTGAACATCCTTCTGTGAAAATTCTGAAAACTGTCTGATAACATGTTTATCAGGCTGGATCGAGAAAAACATTAATCCTGCTTTTGCTGGTCATTAAACCAGAATCACTGTCTTAGCAGATAAGTACTTTAATCAGCTTCCCACTGTTGTTTTGCCGTCATTATGCACCTTCACTCGGCTGATGACCTATGTGACTTACGACCATCTGCACCTAGTGCCAAAAATTAAAAAAGAACAAAAAGTTCCCAGAACTAATTTCTAGAGTACATTATGTACAGTAATTATGCATACATAGTTTTGATTTTTTTAGTTTTATGTACAATTGTTATAATCTGTTTAAATGAAAATAGTACTGACAAATATAAATTTCACTTTTGACCAGTTAGACATGATATGTTAGTCCCAGCAGATACGATTGTGAGTTGAGACCTGTACACACATATTTAAAAATAATTTTTAGTCACATATTAATTAGTCCACCATTTCAGCAACTAGGTTATCATAATTATTATACTAATTGTTGTAATTCACAGTGAAGGTTTGGATACAGTGCTTCCGTCGTCGCTTCCATCCTCGCTATCATGATTCACAAGATTTTGATAATCATGTTCACACATCAGGTAAGCTTGAGTATCTGTCAGTTGATTACAGGGCTATTTAACTAAACTTACTTAGGGGACAGTATTTTGAAAATTAGGATCATCATGGGCCAGATTGTGTATCAGCCTAGAAAAGATCATTAATACAGTACAACTGTCAGTGATCTGTGGACCACTTGCTAGGCCTCTGAGGGCCAGATTCAGCCTACAGGCTGCTGGTAATAGTCCTGGTCTAATACCATCTCCGCATTGAAGTCATCTGCAATTATTTCAGTCTAACACACTGTCCTGCGTCTTCTTAATGCACTAATATATACTTGTTATCTAGCTCTTCATAGATGTACTGCACTAAACATGCCGGAGTCTGGGGCAATGATAGGGTAAACTGTTTCTTAGCTTATAGAGTACCTGCATTATAGGGTAAATGAACTGGTTTCTAGAATACCTTATTGTTAGAGTAAATTGACTTGTTTCTAGAGTACCTGTTCAATATGGTAAATCAACTGGCTCCTAGAATACCACTGTGATTAGGTAGATTTACTGGTTTCTAGAATACCTATTTAACAGGGTAAATTTATTTTTAGAGTATCCGTATGATAGGTTAGATTGACTGGTTTCAAGAGTACTTGTATGATCGTGTAAAATAACTGGTTTCCAGAGTACCTGTATGATCATGTAAAATGAATGGTTTCCAGAGTACCTGTATGATAGTGTAAAATAACTGGTTTCCAGAGTACCTGTATGATAGTGTAAAATAACTGGTTTCCAAAGTACCTGTATGATAGTGTAAAATAACTGGTTTCCAGAGTACCTGTATGATCATGTAAAATGACTTGTTTCCAGAATAATTGTATGCTAGGGTAAATTTCCTAGTTTCTAGAGTTGGTTTCCAGCTCAATTGTACGCTAGGGTATATTTGCTAGTTTCCAGAATACCTTATGACAGAACTAACTGACTTTTTTGTTGTAAATATTTGTATAATAAGGTAAATTGACTGGCTTCTGGAGTAACTGTATGATAGGTGAATCGACTGGTTTCCTGAATACTTGTATGGTATGTGCATTTGCTGGATTTCAGAGTTCCTTATGATAGGGTTCATTTACTGGTTTAAAAATATACCTATATGATAGGACAGATTAACTGGTTTCTGGATTACCTTGAATGATAGGGTAGATTGACTGGTTTCTGAAGTACCTGTACAATAGGGTAAATTGGTTTCTGGAGCACCTGTTTAATAGGGTAAATTGACTGTTTTTTTGGAAGTACCTGTCTGATAGAGTAAATTGACAGGTTTCAGGATTACCTGTATGATAAAGTAAATTGACTGGTTTTTACAGTAGCTGAATGATACTTTTTTTTCAGTCACTTGAATCTTCAGTAGTGCAAGTTAGTTAGTAAAGTCAAGAATTGACATCACAGCACTCGGAGCTGTTCCCAAAGGGCCTTGACAACATCTGCCCTGTCATGCATTAGTTTACCATCCAGTGGTGCAGATCCAGCCAATCTGCCTGCCTGTTCATTACCCACCACGCCGGCATGACTAGGAGAAAAGATCCAAAGTATGCTCACTACCCATGATCTTTTCAGTGAAGCTTGCCACTCAGCTCGAAGCATCCCTGTCTTCACTTTTCTCAGCATACTTTCAGAGTCTGTTACAATTACGACATGTGTATGCATTTTGTTCTCTAGCCCAGTAGTGCAAGCAACCTGACAAGGACTTCTGTATAATTATACAGAATGTAGTCTTCTACCCCTTTATCCTACTGGAGCACAGGCCCTTAGCCAACTCACAGTTGGTTCACTTTTATGTCTGTAGTTGTCTCTGGCATGAAGTAGTCAACCCTAAAACTAACCCTGCTTAGTAACCTCTTATGACATTCATGGCAGTTTACTGCATTTCTATTCTTTATATATTCTGAGGATCCTGTTAACACACCTGTGACAACATGCAATGAAACCACAATTTAACGACAAATTAGTGGAATGGATGGTAGCATTTTATATAGATTTAAGTGTCACATTTATGAATAAAGAAAACGTGTTTGATCGAGTTAATAGGAATAAATTATGGAAAGTACACAAGATTATGGAGTAAGCAAACATCTGATTAAATTGTGCAAGAGTTTATATGTTAACAATCAATGCGCAGTTAGAACAAACATAGGAATGTCACAGATGTTCCATATTAGATCTGCAGTGAAACAAATGTATGTCTTATCACCACTGCTGTTCATCACATATGTTGACCAAACTAGGAAATCAGCTAACACTGGTGAAGGGAACAATATTGGAGAATTACTAAGTGAACTACATTTTGGTGACAACCAGGCAATCATAATGCTAACAACAGCACAGCTAAAGGAGTATGTTAACAGACTCCACTCATTGTGCGACGACTTTGATACGAAGATGAACGAAGGCAAAACAGAAGTAAGGACATTCTCCAGAAAAGGAAGAACGGCCAATATCAGAGTGGATGAACATCAGCTAAAGCAGCTGAAGGACCTTACATATCTAAGGAGCATTTTTTTCAGGAGGTAGAAGAATTAATCAAGAAATCCAGCAAAGCCAACCAAGTCAGAGGCCACATGGCATCAATTTTGAAATGCCAAAATGAGTCACAGTGGTATCAAGCCTTTAGGTCGCTACCTAGAAAGTGAAAACATTCAGCCAAATATTATTGTTAAACAAATTAATCTGTCTTTATCACATTCAATCTAACAATTAAAAAAATTTAAAAACTAGTAACTTTTTTATTTTTAAAAACACTTTCAGATATAGTGTCAGTTGAAGGATCAGCTCCTAGACTGCCCAGAAAGACTGTTTATCTCGTATCTGCAGATGACCATGAAGCTCATGTGAGTCTAGTTGAAGCCTTCGCCATGTTCCTGGAGGTGAGTGTGTTTGTACTGTACTGTTTGCTCATAAATTCACTTTGTAAAAACAAAGTCAGGTGCTTCATGCTATACAATTATCTGATTATATATTGTAAATCTAACTTTTTCCAATCTCCAGTCAGTTTCTAAATCTAAGTCTTTCTTGGTCTGCATGTTCTTCTCTTCCCTCTTCTGAGCCCTGTAGCATTGATTTTGAAAGGCCGTTAGATCTTATTACATGTCAGCACCATTGCATTTTCCACATTTTCACTGTAGTTAAAAAGAGGCTCATAGTTGCCAATATGCTGGGTAACTGTTTGGTGAATTTTGTCATTTGTGATCTTGTTTGTGAATGATATGCCGAGAATTTTTATAAAAAATCACATTTGCAATGCTTTTATCTCCTTTTCAAATTTAATCCACATTTCACAGCCATATGTCTTCTTCTTATTTTCCACCTTGTACCTCAGTGAAGTGTCAGGGGAAGATGTAACGTTCGTTGATGAGCTACTTTTGATCTTTTATCTAGGCGATGATGGTGTAGTGGATAATGAACAGGCAGGCAGATTGGCTAGATCTGAACCACTGGGTGGTGAACTGATACATGACAAGCCAGATGTGGTCAAGGCCCTTTTGGAACAAATCACTGAATCAGTAGAGAAAGAAGATTATTATGGTCTGGAGAGGATTAGGCACCTGGATTTAACCAGAGGGTCTGGCGAGCTTACTAAACTCAGAGAAAAGGCCAGATAGACATTTAACCAGATTGTGACCAGTACCATCTGTATTGGAACTCTGCGCTGGGTGCTGAAGATGAGGATGGAGCACACATGGGAATGCCCCAAGTGCTGGAATGTCAGTTCTTGACTCAACTCAACTCGTTGATGAGCTCTGTCAAGAGCACTATTATGATTGATGTTCATTTCTGTAAGGCTGTTCTTACTGCCATCACTCCATCGTTTTTGAGGTCTTCTACCTGCTCTATACCAGTTGTAACGTTTCAGATATGTGTACTAATAGCTAGTGCTCTGAGCAGTCAAAACTTAGTTTTACATGAGAAGTTTTTGGATCTCCATAAAAGCTGCTGTTTGTCAAGACCTGATGTTGTCTGGTCAGTCCTAGAGATGATTTCTGGTCGAGACCCTAGGTCACTTAAAATGGGTCCTAAATATTTGAGATGATTGACTTATTCTAATTTGTGACGTTTAACATACAATGATAAAGTTATGCCTGCTGGATAACACACATTGATATACAAGGTCCGACAATTAAGTATTGAGACTAATTCCATACAAATTAAAATAATCAACAGTTGAAGATATAACCTGTATTCTATTCAAAGTAAGTCTATTGTGCATTGATACAGTGAGTGGCACGATCTAACAAAGTGGAACGACCACTATCGCATCCTTTCAATAGCAACTTCAATTCAGGGAGTAGAAAATAGTCACATGGGGACAAATCTGGGAAATAGGATGGATGTTTAAGAACATGCATCTGTTTTGGGACCAAAAATTCCTGTACAACTACTACCCTTTGAGCTGGTGCATTGTCATGAAGAAGGAAACAATTGCCAGGTGTTGAATACAAACCAACAAGCAACTTTTTTCTTGCCCAAATCTTCCACTAAAATTTTATGAATAGTCTCTGTATTAAAACCAAATTCATCTACCATCATCCTCACAATCAAACAACCATCTTCTTGTATCCATTCTTGGAATTTTGCAATGTGTTCTTCATTACGAACAGAAATTGGCTGCCGAGGTCTAGTTGCATTAGTAATCATTTCCATACCACTTTTGAATCGTGAATACTAGCTGCAAATCTGTGCACGAGATAAACAATTATCCCTAAAAACTTGTCTCATCAATTCAACTGTCGCAATGGCGCTTTTTGGGAGTTTTAAACAGTATCTAATGTTAGTTTTTTTGCTCCATGCTGATTACGTAACAATGCACATTTGACTAGGTTAAAAAATGATGGCTTGTTTGTTTTCTGCTTATCGGGCGGGAATGAAAAGTTGCCAGATCATAGATAAAGGTTGCCTCTTTGGATTTCATGCTTTGATTCATAGATAGCGTTTTTGTCTTGGCCATAATAATGTGATTTCTCTTAATGGCACCCCACTCCAAGACGTGGAGTTATACACCTATTTAGGCAGTAATGTAGATCACGATGGAGGAACTGATAGAGATATGAAAATAAGAATACAAAAGGCAAGAGGAGCTTTCATAGCACTAGGGAATTTGTGGAGGTCAAAAGAAATGAAAAGAAATACTAAACTAAAAAATTTTAATTCTAATATCAAATCAGTACTTTTGTATGGGGCGGAAACATGGAGAATAACTAAGGCAAATACAAATAAATTACAGACATTCAGTAACTGGTGCCTGCGCAGAATAGAGAGAATTAAATGATATGATAGAATAACTAATGTAGAACTTTGGGAGAGAACTAAACAGGCTCCAGTGGACCAAGAGGTGAGGAAAAAACGCAGGCATTGGATAGGACACACACTGAGAAAACAGGAGAATAGCATAACTAGAATGTCTTTGCATTGGAACCCCCAGGGGTATAGGCATAAAGGAAGGCCAAATAACACATGGAGAAGAGAGCTGAAGAATGAAGCTAGAAAGATAGGGAGTACATGCCTGCTGAATTATTAGTCATTACTTTATTCTTTCTCACATTTTTTATTTCCATGCAATGCTTGCTTGATGTTTCATCAGACAGGTTCACAAGTTCGACTAGCTCTTGTTCTTCACAACCCATCAATGTCATCTGCAAACCTTAAGTTTATTATAATTCATCCTCCTATACTTACTGTTCCATTATGTTTTTCTAGTGCGTCAGTCATAATTCTTTTTAAGAAGATTATAAACAGTGTTGATGAGAGGAGGCAGCCCTGTCAGACATTTACCAGATGGATGTGATTCATGAAGAATTATTAAATAAACCAAAATTTCCCTTGGCACCTTTGAGATGTTGTTTGTAGAAGAATGCTTAACGTTCACTGGACGGCAAAAATTATCATTATAAATAATATTTTTAACAAAGCTAAAGACAAAATAAACATCAAAAAGAGGTAGTCGTCATTTTTGGTCCATTTTTGAGGAGAGAACTGAAACATGTTGTGACAGTTGGGGAAAATGTATCGAAAAAGAAATAAAGAAAGACATTATGGGAAGATTTTTAGCCTTATGGCATGGGAAATTATTAGCACATGAAGGAACTCTTGCTGTCAGAGATTTGGTACTGGCTACAACTTTATACTGTGCAGACATGGTGGGTGTGTTTATATTTGGCCCTCTTCCCTTTCCAGTGTGACATATTGTTTGGGTGTAAGATAATCACATTTTGAAAAATTGGTAAGTTAATTATGACATATTAATTTCATAATTATGTCACTTTGCTGGATGCTGCTTAGTAAGCAAAACCACATTTATTATGGTAAAAGGGAAGTAAAACAGTTATTCTTTTGTATTTAATGATTAATTCCCTTCACTTACAAGAATAAATTTTCTTGTATTTGTGAAACATAATCATTAAAAAAAAATTTAGACAGTATTTTTAGTGACATGATGGCAACAGTGAAGCAGTGGCCTTCCTATTCTCTTGTCTCCTTGGTGGTCTAGAGGTTCGACCTCCTGGACTTTTATAAAAACGGACCAAGACTCCAAATTTCTTCTGCTTCTTCTTCTATTCCCCTAGTTTGTTTTTTTTAATTAATATTTTTTTAGGGTAGAGTTTCTGACATTTAAAGGGATGCTCTTAAAAAAATACATTTTAAAAGTCTATTTTAAAAGATTTTTACCAGCAAAAGGGTTTAGAAACATCATTACTGACACAGATTAGGAAGATGCTTAATAATCATTATTTAAATTCATATTTTATATATTTATTTGCATAATGCCATGTTTTGTCGATATCAGTGATTTACAAACGCCTTCTTATTCTATATTACAGGTACATTGCCACTGCAATGTCATTTTACCATCACGCAGGGATCCCTATGAGACCGGTGCCTATGAATGGTTTATCAGCAGCATTAGTAAATCTGATTGCATTATATTTGTTGACTCAAAAGGAGCACACAAGATGATAGACGCACACCTAAAAAAGAAATCTTGTACGAACAGGAAAGTCGGACCTGATGGAGATCTTTTCATCTTTAGTTTGAAGCACATCCTGTTCAGTGAAACAGTGAGGGAGCAGTCTTTAATCCTAGTCTCATTCGCTGGAAACCATTGCCAGGAATACCTGTCAGTCCCTCGTGTCTTCACCTTTCCCAAGCACCTGGGTTATTTACTTAAGAGGATTCATAGGATTGACTCTTCTGCTGTCAGCTCATACAGTGTGAGTATTTTCATTCATTACATAGATTTGGTAGCTGTAGTGTTTTCTGAGATGAGGCAGCCAATTCCTAAGCCAGCTCTACCTTATCTCTTTCAGTACCAAGGAGCTCAACATGCTTTCATGTTGAGTTGATTTGAGTCAAGAATTGATATCACAGCACTCAGGGCATTTCCATGTGTACTCCGTCCTCATCTTCAGCAGCTAGCGCAGAGTTCCAATACTGATGGTACCAGTCACAATCTGGTTATATGTTCGTCTTGCCTTTCATATGAGTGTAGTGAGCCGCCCAGACCCTCTGGTTACACCCAGGTGCCTCATTCTCTCCAGGCCATAATAATCTTCTTTCTCTACTGATTCCGTTGCTTGTTCCCAAAGTTCCTTGATTACATCTGCCTTGTCATGTATCAATTCATCACCCAGTGGTGCAGATCCAGCCAATCTGTCTGCCTGTTCCTTACCCACCATGTCAGCATGGCCCAGAGAAAAGATCTAAAGTATGCTCACTGCCCATGACCTTGCCAGTGTAGCTTGCCACTCTGCTCGAAGCATCCCTGTCTTCACCTGTCTCAGCATGCGTTCATGTGTTACTCTTTATATGGCTGACATTTAATCATTTTTTTCTATACCACTCTTTGGTTCCTTACATTTCAGTTAAATTAACACCTTCTGTTCCAAAGCTTTTTCCTCAGCTCTGTGAGACTAAATAGGTTTGCTCAATGATACAAATAAAATACAGATATTGTTGAATTCAAAACTACAGAGAACCAAAACAGTTAAATATCTTGAAAACCTAATCTTCATTGTGGGTAGAGGGGCGGAGTAGATAAAGATCCATGGAACATAGTGCTTAGTGGTAGGTGTGGTTGCTAGACACTTGCCTGAAGGTCTTAGGTTTGAATCCCTGTTGAGTTAGATTTATTTTCAAAATTGACTTTGGCTCCCAGGTCAACTCAGCCTGTACATGGTACACTGTATTGTGCTGATCATTAAAGGCTGCATGGCGTTGACCACATCACCCCTCTAAATGATGATTTGTCTTTAAAATATGATTCTAGCATTTATGCCTGATGCACCACCAGCATTTAAAAAAAAAGGGTCCTTTACTTAATTTTACTTACTGTGGTTAAAATTCTTGAATAAGTGCACAAAATATTTTGGGATTTGTAGTCACAAGATACATGGCCTCATCACTGAGAATTACATTGCTATTTTAAAACCATGTTGATGTCAAATGTTACTTTCCCATGTCCTTGGTGATAGAGGTCATGGGGTCATGGCACTGATCACCAAGTAATATTTATTAAGGGCCCCAGGAATGTATTCTGTTTAATGCTTCACTTTCTTCTTATTTATTTATTATTATCTATATCTCTGTATATATATATTTTTTTTTTAAATTAAAGTTAGTTAAAAGTTTTTTTGTTTTTTAATTTTTAGTGACATGTGTTAATTGATTTTTAATTTTTATTTTATGGATTTGTTTTAAGGAATTCCCATGGATTCATTGTCAGTTTTAGTTTAGCATTCCTGTGATGAAAGGTTTAAGCCATTCTGTTCATATATACATAGGTTTTAACTCTTTCAGGCCCATACATTTTTACAGACTTGACCCACATTAATTTCCCTTTACAAAAATGGCAGAGGGGGTGGTGTTCAAAAAAGGCAGTGGAGAATGTGATATACTTCTAATCCCTACAAAAGTATATATTTTTTAAAAGAGAAATGAATGTACATTTTGAATCTGATAATAAGTGTATGTTTAATACTGTTATAGTTAGTTGGAGAGAAGAAATCAGCAGGTGTTAATTTTACTACAACAAAATTTAAGCCAAAATAATTCTTCATTTACCATATTTTTGCAGCCATAAGAACAGCGAGTGTCCAAATTTGAGAATAACACTTTAAAGGTTGTTCAATTTTCTAACAAACTCCAAACTTATGATAGGTTTCTGGGTTAGTTTAGCACTCAGGGGCCCTTAGTTCTCACAGAGTGTTGAACAAAATTTCAGAGAAACAAATGTCAGAAAAATTGACCATTACACACACACTATTTACTAATTACTTTGTAGAGTTATATGCAGACTGTAGCTACAATGATTTCAATGTAGCTTAGTCAAAGTATGGTACTGTCTATTTGTTTAGAGCACTTTCCTTCTCTTACACCCTAAATACGGTAGCAATGGAACATTCTCTATGTCCAGCTCGTCAGAATCGCTAGATTCCCAAACAACTATTTGCTTAGCTGCTGCTGGTGTAAATTAACCGTCCGAATCACTTTCTGGAAAATAAAAATTTTTATTATCATTATCAGAAGTGAAAACATCCAACTGAAACAATTTTCGAGCTTAGGCCACAGATAGGTGCATAATGAGGCCTGTACTTGTGGTTGGAGCACTGGTGTCCATGGCGTTGAAAAACGAAATTACAAAATGCAACGTCTGGAAAGGAATGAGATCATTTTGCGACTACATGTGGCTGAATAAAGGCTCCTATACAAAGAAAACATGTTAAAGTAACCTTCCCTGAATACTTTAAAAGTAGCTCAGAACATTAGAAAACAATACAGAACCGTGTCCGAAGCAATATGTACGGGACACATGATCAACGCTCACAGTGTTCTTTGGGCAAATCGGAACTTCTCAATCAACATTCACAGCGTTGATCGGGCCCTAAACAGTTAAGTTAAAAAAAATATTTTTAAAGCGAGCACCATTATCATGCATTTGAATGCTCCTGGAATATGGTACCAGTCCCATATTTGTAAAGATCAGTTGCTACCCAGAAGATTATATGGTCAACATTACGTAGGTCTACCTTACTTTCAAGGAAAATTTCCTAACAATATTAAAACTGTTGTGATCTTCTGTGTTAATTCTTCTTGTGTTTTTGTTTCTTTTGCAGAAAGTATTGCCGCTCAATGATGAAAACATTAGAAAACTTCCAGAAGGGGCACAACTGCTTGCTGCAATCGAGTATGTTAAAGTCTATGAAGAAAGCAACCCACAGTATTTAGAAAACAATTTTGGGGAACTGAGAGATTTGAAAGATGTGAAACCTCAGTGGGACAGACTTGTGTCAACAGATTCTGGTTTTTCTGGTAATTCTGATCCTGTAGGTTCTGTGTCCCGGCAGGGTAGCTTCTCTGGCAGTCCAACAGCAGGTCCTGAATATGTTAGTTACCCACAACCTTATGTTTATTCACGGGGTGTTTCCCCTAAATCAGATTACAAAGATACCATCAGTGATGGTCTTGAAAGCATGCATACTAACATGTTAAGCTGTTACACAGTTAATGAAATGCGTGAACGAATGGATGACACAAAACATGAGCCAGGTGTGGACCAGTTTTCTATTATACCACCTGAATCAGCATCAGAGATCATCTGTGACAGTCATAGTACTGCGATGGCAGGCATCAATGAAAATAACTTTGAGGATGATGAGGGTATAGATGAAGATGACTTTCAGCAAAGAATCATTCCACCAGTGAACCCTCTAGACATTCAGCTGGACACTGTCAGCTCTGCATTTGCAGACATCAATGCCAATGCAGATAAGCTTCTGTTAAAGGGATACACTAAGTTCATATTGGATAATGAAGTTACAGATTCACTAGCGCAGTTTGATGCTATCAGCATCTGATTTTTCATAAACTGTTCTTATTAATCGAAATTCATAATCAACATAAAACTGTGTTTTGCTAGTTAGATTATTTCATTGTACACAAATATGAGACTTAATTAGGGGTGCTTGTATCCTTACAGGGTCCAATTTGTCTTGAACTTTTCTCATTACTAAAATTAATTTTCAACCAAAATAAACTTTCATTTCTAAACTAGAATAACCAATGCTAAGAGGTATGTGCATATCAAAACAGTAGAAGCAATAGTATGATTGCCAGGAGTAATGGGGGGGGGGGGGGGGGGGGGGGGGGGGGGGGGGGGGGTTGTGGTCGTGTGTGTGTGCGTGTGCCCATGCACCTTATGTTTGTATGTGTATGGGGGGGGGGGGGTGTGGAAGGAAATAAGGTCAGAATAAGATGACTATCTCTCAATATGTCCATGACACCATTGATAGGAACATAAAATAATAATTTGAAAAAAAAGTAGGGAAAAAAGTCCATTTTTTTTTCAACCACTTTAATTATTGTTTAACTAGAATCAGTGTCACAGCACCCAGGACCACTCATATCGTTGTCACTATGCAAATTTCACCCAAGTGCTGACACTTTGTTTTGAGGAAACTGCATTTGAACATTGAAAGATATCTCTCTGTGCAAAATTGTTTGGCTGTGTAAAAAGTAAAACTTTATGTTGATCTGTTTGGAGTAGGAATTCATACGTGTCTTTGACCTATTGTAAAGTAACAAATAATGACACTCAAAAAGAACTTTGGAGAATATCACAAAAATTGCACTGAAGTGACTTTGGTGTAGTGACAAGAAAATGTGCTGTATTTCCTTCAGCAAATGTTAGACTGGGAATGGTTTCTTCTTTGATCCTTTCACTCATTTGCCTGAAACATTTTTGATAGAGCCTGAAGATCACAATACCAATTGTAACTTACATACGAAGACAGCAAATTTAAATGGTTTGCCCGCTTAGTGAGAATGTCTTGTGATGCCATACTATGCAAGGCATACACCAAAAGAGGAGAAGGACTTAGAACACAAGGTAAACCAAGAACAAGTTGGTAAGATAACATCAAAAAAGGGTCTGCAATAGCAAATTATGTCTATCTCTGAGGTGGTCAGAAGAGCAAGAAGCAGAATCTTACATCACCCTTGACATCTGAAGCCGTGTATGACTGCATGAAAGCCATAAGAATTGTCCTTCTTTTTTACTTCTAAACTTCGTGCCATAGAAATCAAACTAGTACCCTAACTTGTAGCATTTACCTGATGTTGCGCTGCAGAGTATAGTCCCCTTAGGGAGCAGTTTTGTGAAGTTTGTTATGTTTGCTTTTTATAAGCTAATATGTATTGCATTTACAGTGGAACCTCACTTAACGAGCATAATTCGTTCCAGAATCATACTCGTTAAGTGAAACACTCGTTATGCGATGCAATTTTTCTCATATAAATTAATGTAAAATATGATAATGCGTTCCATGTCGAGAAAAATATTCATAAAATGCTATGTATAAATTATACAAAACATTTATTCAAAGAAAATTATATACATATTTAAGGAGAGTGAATCATCTACATCTTTTCTTCAAACGCGGAACGAACCCACATGGAATGCGAATTCGATTTGCAGAAAAAAAAAGTCGAAATAATTATGATACATAGCTAATTATTTTTCACTAGAAAGATGTCCAGAGACATTTGTTTTTGTCAACGCTTCAAAATTTGGTGAAAATGCGACACAGCATATCATTAAATTTTCAGCGCGCATAGGCACTTCCTTATTAGGGTGATGCTTCTCAATGTGAGAAGCAACAGTTTCCCATGCTTTCAGCATTTTTCTAATTTCGCCAGAAGTTTGTTGCTTTTCTGTTACCTTCTCCTCCTCCTCCTCCTCTGACAAACTTTCCTCCAAAACGTCTTGCTGTGAAACACAATGCAACTCCAAAAGCTCTTCGATGGCCAGCTCTTGGCTGTGCTCTTCCACAAGCTCTTCGATATCACTGTTATCCACCTACAATCCCATGATAGTGGCCAAAGACACAATCTACAGGTTCCACAGGTACTGTCTAGAACACCTCAAAGTCACAAATTGACAACACTCTCCGGCCAAAACTTCCTCCAAGAAGAGTTAGGGTTCACTTGGTAACCCCTTCCCCCGCCCTGTCTGTCATCTTGAGGCCGGCAACGATGTGGAAGTGATTTTTCCAAAACTCTTTGAGAGTGAGGTTGTTCCCACCAGTCACCTGAAAACAATGCTCTAAGAATGCTTTAGTGTAGAGCTTCTTAAAGTTAGAAATAACTTGCTGGTCCATTGGCTGGAGTAATGGAGTGGTGTTGGGAGGCAGAAACTGGATCTTGATTAACTTAAATTCATCAGGGAGGTCATCCTGGAGGATTCATGTACATATATCACAATATAACACAAGTTTGAGAAAATGTGTGATCACAAGCGACACTACGATGCTACTGGAACGAGTGCTAAATACTGATGTAACATGCGCTAAATCCGGGACTTCCCCTCTCCTCGCCACTCGTTATGCGAAACGTCGTTCGTTAAGTGAGTCATTTTTTTACAATTTGTTTTGCTCGTTATGCGAATTACTCGTTATGAGAGGTGCTTGTTAAGTGAGGTTCTACTATATTTGTTTTGATTTTTTTGGGGGGGATAATGAAAACTAGATGTCAAAATATCAGTGACTGTCAAAGGCCTTGCTCCCTATGTAGGTTTCAGGGGATAAACCTACTGCCCCCAACAAGCATGTCGTGGGTCTAATTAAGGGTGTTTCCAGCATAGTCTCAGTGCATTTTCTTGAGAGATAAGAAACAAAAGGTCTGCATACAAATAAGTTAGATCCATAAGTTTCAGATCAAGACCAAAGTCCAGGAGTGGACGAGCAACCAGAACTTTCTACCAGAGCTTTCAGCCATTGATTGCTCAGGACAAGAAGAAATGGCTTGCAAACTGGGATGGGTAATCATGTTTGCCCACATCTTGTCACCTTCAATAATGTCTCAGTTTCTTGTGCTGACACCTTTCCCTGACATGATGACAAAGGCTATCAAGAATCTTCTTTCTTTGTTGTCTCCTTCCATGAATTTTCCTGGTTTATCACATGTTCCTCTTTTCTCTTGGTTTTATATGGTTGATTATTGTTACTACATTTATTTGCTGAAAATTTTAAAGCCTATGATTTTGGTTTCAGTTGCCTGCTATTAGCAGGGTCTGCCAACAAAGTTTCACATTATTGTTATTCATTATTTTACAGCATTTAAAAGAATAATAATGTTTTTATTTGACTAAATATTGTTTTATGTCATTTTTGTTTATACAATTGATTTGTAATAACAGTTAATTTTAACAAACATTATACACTACCTTGACATGACGATGGCTGTCAAGAATCTTTTCTCTTTGTTATCCTGTCTCTTTCCACAAATCTTCCCGGTTGTCACAATTTCCATCTTTTCGCTTCTCACAATTTGGTTCAATAAGGCTGATTATTATTATTACATTTATTTGCTGAATATTTTCTAGCTTATGATTTTGGTTTCAGTTTGTACGCTGTAATCGCGATCTGCCAACAAATTTTCACATGATTGTTATTTCAATATCTTACAATATTTAAAAAAAAATAATGTTTTTATTTGATGATGTATTGTTTCACATGTTATTTTTTTCTTTCTATACAATTAATATGTGATAAAAGTTAATTTTTAACAAACATTAGGGGTGGTTTTAAAAAAATATTTTTTTTTCAAAAATGTAATATGCTTTTGCATGGCAAGACAGTAGTCTGGGTTCATCCCTCAGAAGTGGCAGAATTTCAGGGCATTGTCCGGGAAGGAAAAATGATGAAGAAGGGAACTCAGGTATTGCCTAGATTATTTAAAGGCCTAACCCCTCCCACTTCAGTGGCAGTATCTCCTATCACTTCCAAGTTTAATTGCAGTAGCGGTTCTCTTCTTCTTAACTCCCTCTTTAACTGGTTTGGATGTCAAGAAAGAAAGAAGGTTCTGTTTCTTGCTCTTTGGGACACCTTGACCATAGACACATCGTGCTGATGTAGAGTTCCTGTGGTGTTATCTTTCTGTTTTGTTCTTGATCTACCTTGATCTCTACATCCTTCTCCTCTTTTTGAGTTTACCTTGTATGATATGGCATCACAAGGCATTCTCTCTAAGTGGGCAGTCCATTTGATTTGCTGTCATTATAATTGGTTATGTGCCGACTTTTTCTCTTATGACCTCATTCCTGATAGCATCTCCTCTGGTCATTCCTGCAGCCCTTCTCAGAAATATTTTTTTCTGCTCTGTTTTTAGTGACAATGCCTAGCACTTGCATCACAGTGTTTACTGTCCTTTTAAGTATTGTCTGATATTTCCTCAAAGAAATTAAGTTATTCTTGCCATTTATATGCTAGAGTTTTATGCATTGTGTTCATAAATATACTAATGTTCATGGTTTATAAGAAACAGAAGGCATAATTAAAGGAGCATCTCCAGTGCTGTACTGTTGGCTGTAATAAAAGAAATCAACTGCAGGTGTGACCATTTTCCTGAAAGAGATAATGATGATCATTGTAGCAGAAATCTTCTTCGTTCACCCTTAAAAGGATGGTGATACGTTGTGTTGTGCTTTTCTGCTGGCTGCAATAGTGTGCCTTTTGACCCAATACACCCAGCTTCAGCCAAAGTCCTAATTCATCATCATCATCAGGTACCTTGCCGACTGGCATGGGTGATCATGCCTCTCCACAATCTGCGATCTCCTGTAGCATGTATTAGTAAAGTCCAAATTCATAACCTTTTATAAAATGCTTTTCCCAAATGGAGCCTGGAAACCACACTTGGAAGAAGTGTTTTAAAATATATTAGTGATTACTTTGTTCATGAGCATGGGATGTGAAAAAAATTATATTCCTCTTCTGTCCTTTATCCCAAGCTGAAGCACAGGCTCTCAGCTAACTCATGCATAGTAGATTGGCTTTTGCAGCTGAAGCTTCCTACATCA